TCAGCGACCGAGTGTCCTTGGAGGTCCAATAGTGCTCATCAGTCTTCCGGAATGGTGCAAGCTCAGAGACCTCGGTGAGGGGCTCTTGAGCTGAAGAGGCAAACGTTCCGTCTACTTGGGCTGCATTTCATATTTAATATGTGCACAAGCCGTATCCAGTAAGCAACGCAACTCACTAAACTTTCCACGAGTCTTTCCGTCGGGATTAAGATACCCATCATTCCCTATCCAGTAGTCAGGATAGACGTACTCCCAGAACGCAAGGATTCGATCGATGTTGCAATGATGCAAAAAGAAGACGGGATCAAAACCTGTCGAAAAGATCAGATGCTTGACGTAGCTGAAACCAATCGAACGATGTACTCACTGGCATAGTCGTTATCCATCTGAGGATTCCAAGGTGCATTAGCTGAAGCTATGTATTTTGAAACGGCAAGGAGGGATTCATACCATATGACCGAGACCACCGAGGACGAGATGAAGCGAATTGTGCGGTTGCTCCAGCGATCCTGCGCGGCAGCTCGTAAGTCCACTGCCCACTCGGCATTCTTGAGTTTGTCCTTACCACATCCCCAAGCGTACGGTGACGTAGGCTTGCCATTAACAAGTTTCCCAGATTGGAAGGATGTATTAGAGAACTCGTCCCAGCTGAAAAGAGCGCTGTTAGGTCCCCGATGTCTTGGTAGAAGATTCAGTGGCAGAACATCACGTACACATTAGCGTGTAGTTCCTCGGGGATTCCACGAGGGTAGAAAAAGAGGTTGGACACTTTGGCACGCAACTCTTTCCAACTTCCTTCAATCGACGTCGTAGTGTTGCCTGTCAGGCGACTGCAAAATGGGAAGGATGTATATGAACATTTGATAGATTTATTGATTTGGTTCATTGAACTCAACTCGTTAAGGGCCTTGTAATCCTCCTTGGGGTCAATACGGGTCGATTCCGGCCACCTGTACGTCCTCTCCCAATCTTCATAGTAAGCCCAGCCCTCGACGCCGGCAGAGTTTTCTTGCTTTCGGTTTTGGAATCCATCGGGACGAGTCTTGCCGAAGCGATAGAAAGCCAGAATGTTTTCCCTTTTTACGGTCAGCCCGCCGGGCATATGCAGGTGGAGGTATTCATCGTAAAGAATCGGGGGGAGGCCTTCCTTGCCAGTAGAGGGGTCCAACCAGTCCCAGAACCTACGAGGCCCCCAAAGACAATATAAAGGGCCCATAATGGGAGCTCAGAGCTTTATTGACGCACGGAAAGCGGAGCTCTTTGGCGGCTTCTAGCCAACTGTTTGCTTCATTGGGATACTGCCTTGCAAACTCTCCGGCGACCTTGTGCGCCGCCTCAGATATAGATTGCTGGGCACAATAAATGGGTGAGTACCATGCTACTACTATATGAATTTTGGGGCATACCTCAAGGAGCAAGATGCTTGGGCGATGCCACGTGGGAAACAAAACGGCTATTAGCAGCATTAGAGCATGATGGGTAACATAATAATGTTTGATATCATACACTCGTGGTTACAGTATCCTATGGAATGACCATATTGAGTACGATGACTGTGTTTGGGAGGTCAACACTACATACCACCCCATGTCGCCACTGGCTTAGAAGGACCGTTGGGATCACCACTACGGAAAAGGATGAGCGCGTGGGGACTATGGCTCGTAGAATTAACATGTCACTCACGGCCACTGTTGATTGGGAGCTCCATGAATTCCGGCTGTTGTAGGCCTTGTTAACCAAGGCGTCATCGGGGCCTATACACCAATATCGCCTACCCTGTTGCACAAACTGGGCGGCGATGGGCCGATAGTCGGGCCTCCTTATGGCCTCCCAGCCAAGGACGAAGAGAGTAAACTGCTCAGGTTTTTTATACAGCTCTCTAATCTCAAGGCGAGGGTAAGTGCCTGCAATTACGGGAGAGTGAGCGAGTATATCTGTTGCGGTATGGGGAAGTACACGAACCCCCAAGTATCACCCCGGTTACGGGGTACGGCTGGTTCTGAGATAGGGCCATGAGAAACACGCGTTTGTAGAAAAGTAAGACAGGGGATGTTGGAGCTGAGAGACAAGAGCTACAAAGCTCCAGCTTATATAGCATCAATACCCTAGACTTAACGAATGAGACCAGTCAGCGGCCGCCGCCAAAATTGACCAGGTCGGCCTCGCGCCGCTTCACTATTCGGTAGTCATTCGGCTGCCAGTTGTCAAGGTCCTCCAATAGTGAATGGCGAGTGCTGACTTGGGACAGTGCTCATATCGCCATTGAGCTCAACTGATCAGAAAGTCTTGGACTGGGCTATAGGCGGTAGATGGAATCATGGGGTCACGCCTGATAGGCATTGATACATTGGCCTCATCCAGGGCCAAGAGGTCAGAGATTTGGGGTGTGGCGCCGCGAGGCGTTCATTAAGGCCACAAAATGGGGCCAAGGGAATAAACGCGATCCGATGGAGTTTGACGCCATAATGGCAAAAGGATGAAATGCCCGAGCGGTGGTGATAATGAAGTGGAGATGAAGATCATCTCTTCAGCCTTTGTGCGCAATGTAGAATGAAATGCTTGGCGGGTGCCTCGCAGGATGAGATCTACAGAATTGATGAGGATGATTGCCATCAATGCAGGCCCTCGTATGCTCTGACCAAGAAGTGAAGTAAACGAACTCGAGCCCGGCGGCCGGATGGCAGATACCTAGACGCGAGCACTCAAGCAACTCCAGACTCAGCGTAGATGTCGACGGTTGAGAACTCCGTTGATCCAGCGGGTTGCGCTATGTACATACTAAAAGAGCCATATGGCGCCGGGGATAACTTATGGCCGGAATGAATGTAGCGCAAAGAGAGGACCTTCCGCAAAATCGTTGGGCCATGGATTCAAGGACGAAGAAGCAGGTGTTACTGAATAAGCTTGCTTGGCTGCCGTAAGTGTCATCCATATGCACGCGCGCAATCGAGGATGAGGTTCATGGTGAGACTGGTAAAGAAAAGGTCACATATAATAATATGGGTATTCGCGGATCCCCTTACTTGCTAAGGCCGAGTAAAATGCAAGTAGGTCGGCGCGACCAAGGTAGTGTGTCGCCCTTCCCGGGGGCTGCGTCCCCCGCGCTCAAACCAGCACGATAAGGACTGAGCAGTCACAGACTCGTGCGACGCATGTACGAAATGCAGAGGTGTAGCACTATGAACATTGTGTACGTTGCGAGCCTGCCCCCTTTTATCTCGACATCATGTTTTCTGTCTCGCACTCGACATCATCTTGAGGTACCGCTTGCAACTGTATCGAGTGAACGAGCGTGTAGTGAAGGAGGAAGATTTCAGCGCAGCGGCCAGCCTTTGTATGTGGTGGTTGGAGTGTGAGCCTGGTTCGCTTGTTGCGACCCGCCACCACGCTCAGCCCAAACCACCACAGCCCGATGAGCCGGGTCACGTCCCTGCTCAACCCTTCCCCAGGGTCGTCTGCGCCAGCTCCTCCCTCGACTCGCAACGACGAACAGTATTCGTTTCCGATCCCTCCTCGCGTGCCTTCTGAGCCACTTCCTCTACAACGCCCAAAGTGTCTTCTTACTTTCTCATATAACGCAAATCATGAGCTCGAATTCAACAACTCGGCAATGAAATATTTCTCTCCCCCGCCTGCTCAGGCGGACTTGAACTGGGGGTATGACCGATGGGTACATAAGGAAGAGGGGATCGTGCGATTGGACTCCTTGCTGCAAGCTACGCTTAGGGACGAAGCGCGTTATGAAGCGGGTCGAGCCCATTTGGTCACATGGAGGGGCATAATGACAAAGTAAGCTCTGGTTTAGTAGTCCGCGCCGAGATTGCTGCTCATGCAATATTCGAGAAAGGATAATGATGGCGCCTTATGAGGAGCGAGACTCCTGGGATCTCAATCTGATGTATCTGAATGGGACTATGTACTTGGAGGAAAACCTCACCGAGCAACAGATTCAGGCCAAGTGGGTCGCATCGCTGAGCGCTCAGATTGTGGCTATCTGACTCATAGTATATTAGGGGCACTATGACTGCTGAACATCGCACGATGTCGTACTACGGCTATGCTTTCGAATCGTATTGCACTTCCTCGTCGCCTTCTGCTGATTCACAAGCTCCGAACACTCACCCCGAAGCTCCACCCGGCTGGGGAGGCGATGTGAATACCAACGTCCAGTGGTGTCAAATTGTCAAGACGAAACTCAACAGCCATCGACTAATATTGGGTGGTGAAGTGGACTGTGTACGCGGTAAGTGCTCCGATCTTTTGGGAGCATACCTAGGATATTAAGAAAAAAACAGATAGCTACAACGGTACGACTGAAAACTTTGTGGAATTAAAAACGTCACTGGTGATCAAGACAAAGCCTGACCGCGTCAGATTCGAGAAGTAGGATTTTCCGTATAGATCCTAGCTGCTCGCTCACCTCTCCGTCTTGTTTTCTAGAAAGCTCCTGAAATTTTGGGCACAGTCTTTCCTCCTGGGTGTTCCCGTACGTCCCACATCGATGCCGCACTTGCCTCTCCTGACGCACCTGGCTCCAACAGGAAATACTGGTGGGATACAGATTCAGATCGGGCATTGTCGAGTATACCGAATCATTTCGCACGCTCGATATCCCTCAAATCGTACGAGGAAAGGGCGCACATGCATGGGACGCCGGCGTTTGCCTCAACTTCGCGGACGCGTTCCTGAACTTTCTAGACGGAATCATTGCCACTTCCACAAACGATCCAAGGCTGCCGCTATGGCGTATCAGCTTTCTGCCACGGAAAGGGATCATGGTTCGCAGACTCCATAATCGAAAAGAGGTGCTGGATGTCCAAGGTGGCGGTGACTCAGATCGAGTTGGTATCCTGCCGACTTGGTTTTGGAACCATGCCACGGGTACATCAAATAATAGCGAGAATTAGCGACTGTTGTTATCAGCTGCGCGTGTATTGCGCAATACTATAGTGCGCTACCTCTGTCTGATATGTGTAATATATCTTGTATACCTCTAGTATGGTTTTATCGTCTAGTGGTTAGGACGCAGGATTTTGATTGCTCAGATCTTCCTGAAGCCCCGGTTCGATCCCGGGTAAGACCTTTTGCTTTTTCTCTGGATCCCTACTCTCCTCGCACAACGAACATGCCTAGCGCTTCCCGCTTTTGGACAGCTCGCATTTTACTCAGCCTTCTTTCCCCCAGGGTTTATTATCCGATTAACAGTGCTGTAAGTGCCGTTGATCGTGCCTTTGGCAGAGATGCAGCAACACGTTCGAGGGACGCTTCGGGTTTATCACTCTTATCGAGTTCCCATCTGCGCTGCTTATCCATCAGATTAGACATAGTTGGGTTGGGTACCAACTCCCTTCTCCATCAGCGAAACACCTGGGTGCTTTGATTATGCATATAAGCAGTTATAATGGCTGCAAGGGGTACTAGCGCCGTAAGGCTTATAATGGTGCTTATAATCTGCTTGTAACTGCGAGAAATATGACATGCGGCACACTTGCCATGTGAACATCTAGTAGGTTTACAAGCTGCGCAAATCTTACACCCCGCATGTAATGGGACTGGCGAGCTTTTATGAGCCCGTTGTCCTGGCGAGTACATAGACACGCGCTGAAAGCCTAATATTTTTTCACAATATATATGTTACTCACAGCGCTAGTATTCGCTGGCGAGGTGTACGACAGCCTTACTATCCGCAGGCTGGCTTTTTTTCTCAAAAACGCTGGTTGCTTTATATAAAATCACTGCCGGCGATAGCGACCAGGATGGTGTAGAGATAAGATTCTATTTAAGCTATTGTACACATATGGCATCTGCCTCGTGGCCTTGCGGCCATTGAAATACTGCGCTACTTATTATCGCGCTAACGTCGTGGTCGGTTTGAGATGGTGTAGTGGGAGTAGAAATGGCGTTAGTAGTGGGAGTTGAAGGGGAGGGTTGGAGGGTATACAGAGCTAGATTTAAAAAGGTGAGTAATTGAGCAAAAGAAGAGGAAAAGGGGGACATTACAATGGTATAGACAGTGGAGCACGCTGGGTCATGAGAAGTAAAAATGGTCGATAGATTAATATGGTGTAATTACGCGGGGCAAGCGATTCCACTAACCTTAGGCGCGCAAGTTCGAGGGCGGTCGAGAGGAGAGCTGTGAGAAGGGGGAAGATGAGGGGAGAGGACAAGTGTTGGGGGAGAGTGGCCGCGAGGTGGTAGGGTTATATACATAGTGCGGCACGCTGAAGAGTCGTGGCAAACAGAATCCTCATTCAAACGCTTGACACCTTGAAAGCGGCCAAGTTTCCGCCACGCTTTTGTGAGCCATCGGAGAGATTCGGTAGCCAGAGATAAAAGCGCCCAGTGACGCCCACACACGAGTATTAAACGTTGAATGCTGCGTAGGAGCCATGAATTTCTCGGGCTGGCCGCTGTGCCGATCGATGCTGCTGCCACCTGCGGTTGGTTTCTGGATCAATTGACAAGTGAGTAATTGATGAGATTCCGTTGGTTGTGGCTTCAGTGCGCGAAAGTGTGGCGCTGAGGCGCGAAAGTGAATATTCCAATAGCGCGAACATGGTTGACGCTGGTTGACGCAAGGCTTGGGGATTGGATCCGGTGGTGTGTTTATGTTCGATAGTTGGCTTCAGTGGGCGAGCGGAGCCACGGGAAGTGCCTGCGCCAGCTTCTAGTGAGAGCTCACCAGTGTTTTTGGACACATAAACGTTGAGCTGGCTGCGCATGCATCCCACCAGATTTAACATGAGATGAGATGTATCTTACTAGGGATTTTAGCCACGTGCACCTTCCTCACAAATCTTAAATTCGTGCAAAAGGCCATCGAGGGGTATGCCAGCTTCTCGAAAGCATTTTATTCATATATAAGGACCTCACATGTCTTACGACCGCTTACAAGGCCTTCAAAAGCCTAGCCGGTTACACATATTTATCTTATGGGCACTGTGACCTGCCTGCATACAACTTGTAAGTCTTATATACACTCAAATGTCTCTCACTTGATTAAATGCTAATATCTGTATTATATTAGCTTGTAATCGCGTACAATAATTTTGGTCTGCGATAAGGTAATACTAGCGTCACCGCGTTTTGCTGATGTCCTGGTAAGCGAAAAGAAGCCTCATTACACCCAATGATCACGTCTAAACCGGGCTCCTCTTATATGGGATATGAATTCATAGTTCGCAGTGTGGCTTCTTGAATTTGGATAAGTAAGGGTACATACGCACGACACCCGAGCGTGGACACTGGAGTCCCTCACTCTCGCCCCGCAGCGACTCGACAGAAGCATGTCAAATTCGCCCATTTCAGCAAAGCCCGGTCTCAGCCAACTAGCCACAATCTTTGCGTTAGTGAATCATTGCTCAGTGGTCAGGTCTGGAAGCTATTTAAAAAAATACTCTGCGCGCCCTTGACTTCCCCCAGGTCTGGCACTGCCTTGTTTTCTGATGGTATGTACCATTTTTCCACTGAGTGTTTTTCTTTTTCTTATTAGTGATCCATACTGATCTCCGTGGTAGGCTACGCGAATGGCGGTGAGTCGCAATATCGGTGGTGCCGATGGCTTCAAGCCTTCGCCGTCTTGGCCTTTGAACCGCTGAATTTTCGTTTCTGCCGCGAAACAGTCATCGGCTCAGTGAATACCAGTTCGTCATCCCAATGGTTTCTATTATTACTATGCCTGGGGCTAAGTGTCGCGCCAGTCTTGAAGAGGTTATATCCTGAAGAAGTCAAAGCCCGTAACTATGGCACGATTATTGCTTCTGTAGCGTTCGTTGGCATGATTGTCGGGATGGTAAGCTTGCTCTCATATGTAAATGTGTACTTCTCAGCCTTATTTTGTAGGTTATCTTTGGATATCTGAGCGATAAGGTTGGCCGAAGATTTGGCATGGTAAGTATAGGCCTACGCGTTATTGCTGAGGCCTTTAGTCTGGTACCAAGCCTTTGGACTAATACAAAATCACTTGCGCGCTTTTAGCTGTCGGCTTGTAGTATAATCGCAATTTTCTCGGCGCTATCTGCTGCATCTAAAGGCGCAGGAGGCAGCGTGGATGGCATGCTGCAAGCACTCATCGCATATCGCTTTCTCATTGGCGTGGGGGTGTGATATTCTTTCGTTTATCATTTCACTGTTACCTCTGAGTTTTACTCCTTTTTAGATTGGTGCAGAGTATCCTTGCGGAAGTGTTGCCGCCAGTGAACAATCGGAAGAGCAAGGTCGGTAACTTCATTGATGACTTGATCAGCGCACTTATCGTTGTTCTGCTCCAGGAATCAACAAGAAAGCTCAGCATAGATGGTTTGCCCTCGCAACCAGTTGGGGTATTTCCGCTATGCTATTGCTATATTCCCATACTCACTGGGAAGCTGCGTTTTCCAATATGTAGATTCAATGATCGACTTTGGCTTCGTCATTTCTGCCTTCGTTCCTTTGGTTCTAGTATGGATGTACGTAGACTAGTTCCTATATACTCCCTGCTCAGCTAACATGACTGTAAAACTCTAAGCTGCAAAGAAAATCATCTGAGAGCCGTATTTCGACTTTCTCTTGGGTATGTAGAGATGATTGATGAGGTTTCCTATTTCCTATTTCCTAAAATACACGATTCTTACCTCTCCAAGCCTCGGCGTAGTGCCGGCGGTGGCGGTATTTCTTTGGCGGCTGGGGCTCACTGAGCCGGAGCGGTACAAAAAGGATTCCATGAAGCACGCTCGCGTGCCATATTGGCTAGTCATTAAACGATACTGGGCTAACTGCCTTGCCATTGGAGTCACATGGTATGTAGGCGATTGTATGTAGCTGCGCAGAGTCCTCTTGTTTCAAGCCTGTGCCCTCTAGGTTTATCTATGACTTTATTGTGTGGGTGGTCCTCAGCTTTCTGTCCCCCGTCATCGCCTGATCACATAACTTTATCCATCAGGTATCCTGTACGTTGCGTATCAGTCCCGGAGCTAAGATATTTTCCGACTGCTTGCATTGTGCTAGTTCGGACTATACTCCAGTACAGTCATTGACAGTGTAAGTGGCGCTCTTTCGGTGCTCCACCCTTGAGAGGCGACTTTTCTCAAGGCTTCAGAATTATAGATCATTGGCGACACTGATTCACTTGCAGTCATTTTTGGATGGAACGTCGTAGTCAAGTAAGCAGCTCTCCTAGCTACCTTAGCCGGCTCTATGATATGAACGCAGTCGTTGCGATCCAGTCTGTTTTACATGCCAGGAACGCTCCTCGGCGCCTTCGTCGTTGATTATCTGGGGCCCAAGAATACCATGGTGCGTTCATCTTCCCCCACCGGGTTACATCATGCTGATCACCTCGCATGGAATATGAATTTAGATCCTGGGACTAACTTGCCAAGTTTGTCCTCTTTCCTTCCTTGAGTCAGGACTCAGCATTGACTGTTACACTGATTATGCACCTAGGCAATCATTGGATTCTTCATGAGTGGTTTTTACACCCAGTATGCTACCCACTGCGCTATTGACGATCGCTCTGGCTAATGTTGTGGCTACATCTTACAGCCTCGAACACCATATCGCAGGATTTGCAGTCTTGTACGGTATCTTCCTTTCGTTTGGCGAGCTTGGACCAGGCAATTGTCTGGGAATGCTCGCGGCTAAGACGGGGCCCACAGCAGTGAGGGGGCACTTTTACGGTTTTGCCGCTGTCATCGGAAAGATTGGTGCAATTGTTGGAATGTGGGGTAAGTGCCACTTGGTTTTTTGGATCGATTTAAGTGTTCAAAAAAAAAGCGATGCGGGGTATACAGCGTTCCCCCCGATGATTGAAGCATTTGGTGGCGCGAGCTCCGTTCGAGGCAACACAGGTCCCTTCTGGGTCGGCAGCGGTATGATTTCTTTAGATATCCGACTCGTCTTATATCCTACTTAACGCTTTCATTATTGATAGGACTTGCCGCTTTGAACGCCCTTATCACATTGTTCTTTATTAGGCCGCTCTCGCATGATGGCATGGCAGAGGAAGATATGAAGGTGCGTATCTACGCGCCTCCGACCTCCCAGTCACGCTAATCTGCAGTTTATGCTCCATAGTTCCGGGAGTACCTCGAGGCGCACGGCTAC